TTAACATACATTGGCTCTCTCCCTCTCCCATGCAACCATTTTTTATTATTTCAAAATCCTAGCTGGAAAATCGATTGGGATTTTAAACTAGTTAGAGATTGATGCCTTGCGAGTAGTAAACCAAAAAAATTCGACTGACCATTATGCTGCAATTGGGAAACTAATTCAATGAAAGAACTTTCAGTCTTGAGAAACGTGTACATGCTTATCATTATCTTGCATTAAAATTTAGATTATCATTTTTTTTTACTACATTAATATTAGTAATGATAGGATAAACAGAAAACCATTCAGTTCGGAAAAGCCACCACTCTATCTCCCTGTACGTTATAGCTATGATCTGTAATAATTGCAATAAAATGACATTTGATCTTATCTTGAAGATCCTCATTATTTTACAAGTCCAGTTCTAGCGTACTTGTCGATCTAAGTGATATCCAGGATCTTGTCCATTCCACTTCTCACGAGAAACCTGAGAACAACCAATAATAAATATCACGAGTCTTAGAAGGCAATGCAACATTTACAGCAATTGTTTTGAATAGATCTAAGGAGTAAGGGCTTAGGCCATGCGACATACTTGTCTCTAAGAATATTTGTCATAGATAGACAACCCCCAGGCACCATTGATTGCTTATTCACAGCAATAGTTGGATTATGAATACTCTGGCTCAGGTGCAACCGTGTTGTCCATGTTTGTCATCAGAAACTTTAGTCCTGTTCTCACAGAGTAATGTTTGTATGACTTGAAGTACGACAGTTATAAAAACGCATCCATCGTCCTGTAGAAATAACTAAGAATCGATTTATGAAATAGAAGCACTTGCAAAGAAAATCAAAGGCAACGCCTCATACACTGAATAAACCAGATTCTACGATCTTAACAATGAACTAAATTCACAGAGAAAAACTATTGATCATTGATCAATGTATGAATCATAATTTTGGTTTATAGCACCTAACCTGTACATATAAGCATCAACAGCTTCTGGATCGTCTTTTAAGTGGACGAGGCATCCATCGCTTATCCAACAGTCTCCACAGGAATCCAATTCCCAACCTTCTGAGTCGTCCCTCCTAAAAGTTATATCGGTTTGACATAAAAGATTGTGATCTTCTGATGAGTTGATAAATTGTGTTTTATTTTTTATTATTTATGTTATGACAAACAACGGAAACAAGACAAGTAATGACAAACACTAATCAAAAGATAAAACTAAATAAATTATCAACACACATGATTTATATGATTCAGCAAATTGCCTACTCCATTGATGAGAGAGAAGTTTTATTACCTTGATAGTAGGAGAATACAAGAACCCTACTCCATGGATGAGAGAGAAGTTTTATTACCTTGATAGTAGGAGAATACAAGAACCACGAAGGCTCAATATAAAGTCTCTGTCTTTCACTCTATTTCCTAAACGAAACATAAGGAAGTTTAAATACTTCATACATATAAAGGAAAAAACCTAATATGCTCAATATATTGTTGGTCCATAAAATTCAAGTCACACACAACAAATCTCCACCTTAGCTTGAATTCTACAAACCTTCATGAATATCAAATAATTCCTTAAAACAAACTTCTAAGCTTACGTGAGCTAACTTGATGTAAGAAACAAGAGATGTGAAGAGAAAAAACATTGACTTTAACATTAAGACTAACATATTCCTTCTCTCCAACAAAGCCCCAACATGCACAGACAAATACTCAAGGCACACGGACACAAGATAAGTACTCCACACGAAGCGAAGCATGAAGCACGAGAGAGAGAAGAAAACTCATACGGTTGTGTCTCTCTCCTTCACATGGCCGAGCCTCTCTTTTCAAATCACTACCTCTCTATAGGTAGAAGACTTTTGATTACCCATTGTCTCAACTCTAATAAGGGCATAGGCTACTTAGATCGGCATAAGCATATCTGCGGAGAGGTCTTATTTGTCTCCCTCTCGACCGGTCGCTATTGAGTAAGATTGTTCAACTTTTTTGGCATCTTCATTCATATCTGAATCTTGTTGCATGTTTGTAATTATACGAGATACATCTAGGTCTCTCTTTTAAACTCCATTTGAAGCTCTACATTATCCATGACTTTCTTACTCTTTCTTGTAGACTCACGAAACAAACTTCCCTTGATTAAGCATATATTTCCCATTAAAAGTAACATCTCTACTAATAATGAATTTAGATGAATTTGGTTCAAGGCACTATAGACAATGACCTTTCACCGTATCAAGCATAACCAATAAATATGCATTTCTTTGCTCTAGATTTAAGTTTATCAATTTTAACATGATAATAAACAAGACATCCAAATACTTTTAAATTTGAATAATCACTAGGTTTACCTAACCATACCTCGTTTGGAGTCTTACAATCAATGATAGCGAGAGGGAGAACAATTGACAAAATAACAAGTTGTGTTAACCGATTTAGCCTAGAAATCCTTCTCCAAACTCAAATTAGAGAGCATACATCTAGCTCTCTCCATCAAAGTCCTGTTCATGCGCTCTCGCCAACCCATTTTGCTGAGGAGTGTGTCTAACCGTGCGATGTCGGACAATCCCCGAGTTTGTACAAAACTCATTAAAATTTCCACCACGAAATTCCAAGCCATTATCTATTCGAAGACATTTAACTTTCTTTCTCGCTTGATTCTCTATTAGAACTTTCCATTGTTTGAAATTTTCAAAAACATCACTCTTATGTTTAAGAAAATAGACCCAAACCTTACGAGAGTAATCATCAATAAATGTCAAAAAATAAAGTGCACCATCTGTGGATGGAACTCGAGTCGGTCTTCATAAATTTAAATGAATGTAATCAAGTGTGCCCTTTATAGAATGAGTGCCAACAGAGAACTGCACTCTAGTTTGCTTTTCCTAAGACATAATGCTCACAAAAATCAAGCGATGTCATTTGATCACCACAAAGTAAACAACATTTACTCAAAGTAATCATACCTCTATCACTTATATGGCCCGGACGCATATGCCATAATTGAGTCATTTCCTCTTGAGAGTAGGAAGTAATCACCCTTGTAGAGTCTATTACTTGTACTACTTTGTAACATATAAAGACGATTAATTTGAGTTGCTTTCGTCATAACAAATGAACCCTTAGAAACCTTAAGAATTTGACTTTTACCAAAGTAGCTATAACCTTTTGAATCTAAATAGCTTAAAGAAATTAGATTCTTCTTCAAATCCGATATATGTCTCACTTCCATCAAAGTCCTCACAACCAAATCATCATAGTTGATACGAATTGTATCGGTACCATTCACTCACAAATTGAATTGTTGCCCATCAAATCATAGCCACCATTTACGGGTTTATGAGTGGTAAGCCACTCTTTATTTAGACACATATGATAAGAAGCACCGAGTATCTAAGATCCATTCTTGATCAAAATGGCCATATAGAGGACATACAATGAGAACACTTTCAACGAGTATTAACATTAGTAGCCTTTGCCACATTATCATACTCAAAACTTTGACCCTATGGTTTCTCCTTCTTCTTTAGAGTAGGACATCTAATTTATAATGTCCTTTCTTGTGACGATAGTACCATTTAATATTGTTTTTCTTATTCGGGAGTGTTCTAAACTTAGAACGAAATTTGGGTCTTCCTTTATAACGCTCTCTATCCTTCTATCTCCCTCTTACTAGCAAACCATCGACTTGATTATCAATGGCTTTATCATTTAGCTCATGTCTCAGCTCAGCGAGAATTTAAAGAGGCCTTAACATCCCGTAAAGTTGTGAACTCTCTACCATATAATATTAAATTAACAAAATTCTCATACGAAGTAGGTAATAAACACAATACAATAAGAGCTTAATCTTCTTCATCAACTTTAATATCAAGATTTTTCATATCCATAACAATCTTATTAAATTCATCAAGGTGTTCATGACTAGACGTACCTTCTTGCATCTTTAGTGTATAAAGACGCTACTTCAATCTTATTGTAAGAGATTTATTTATGTAGAGGCTTTTCAACTTCTTCCATAGTCTCGTCATCGTCTCTTCATCTCGCAACTTATTACGACACTTTGTCCGATAATGATAATTGTAGAGGACTATGAGCCTTCTCATCAATCACTTCAATTTCGACGAAGTTACATCATCCGGGTATATACCCTCAATTATCTTGATAAAACCTTCACATCGCAACAAAGCTTTCATTTTTATTCTCTATAGGCCAAAGTGATTTTGACCATCAAAAGGCGAAACATCAAATTTTAAAGCTCGCCATTACGAATAAAAAAAATCCAAAGATGCACAACCTACACTCGATACCGAGTTTGTTATGATAAATAGTGAAAACAAGACAAGTAATGACATGTAATAATCAAAAGATAAAGCTAAATAAATTATCAACACATAGGATTTACGTGGTTCGATAAATTTTCTACTCCATGGGTGAGAGAAAATTTACGTGGTTCGAAAAATTGCTTACTTCACGAATGAGAGAGAAGTTTTATTAGCTTGATAGTAGGAGAACATAAGAATCCTACGGGCTCAATACAAAGTCTCTGTTTTTCACTCAATTTTATAAACAGAGACATAAATAGATTTAAATACCTCATACCTATAAAAGAAAAACCTAATGGGCTAAATATATTATTGACCCATAAAATTCAAGCCACACACAACATATATACATACACCTTAACAAGGCTTCGTAATGTCCCAAATTCCTCAATACCTCTTGCCTTTGCGGACCTAGGTTCGGAGATGATGTTCATCCTTAGTTCTATAGATTCTAATGGTTCTTCAAGATCTTTTATGAGGCTACGGATCCCTTCTTCGATTCATCTAATTTCATACGTACCATTTCAATGATGATTTTTACCACCATGTAAGCCCCTATAAAACATAATTAAAATTGCATTAGAATGAGGTAACAAGAACTGGATCAGAATTTAACTACACATATCCATTAGTACTACTATAGAATAGTCAAAATACTATAACTCATCAAATATTTATGATGATTTTGATTCTTGAGTACATGGCCTACCATCATCTATGAAATAATTCTCTTTAAGAGCACCATGTCCAGATGTTTCCATCATTAGATGGGATTCAATGTCATCCTTATTAAGTTGGACTCCTTTATCAATCACATTACGATAACCAACTCGATACAAGTAATGTTGACCTCCTTTATCAATAATAAACCTTGTTAGTCCCATGCTTGTATGTGCATCGATCACTATAGTAGTTCCACGATGTTCTCTCAACACAATAGCGGACATGAGTGCTATAAGCCTGTCACCATTAATCGGGTTTCCTTCCTTGTCAACTACACCACTTCGGTTTACGTCGGTGTCGAAAACAATTCTAAGATCGGCTAAATTTCTAGCACAGCAGCTCTAGTTAGAGCCATGACGAGCTTTGTCCTTAGGGTTAGGCATGTGATTGGGGAACATTCCATCCGGGTTTAAGTGTAGTGAGCTGAAAGTGTCCGCCCTAAACTTGTCAAGAACATCCCACGTGAAGAAGACTTTTGATCCATTTCCAACGTTTACAATTATCTGCAGGTTACGAGATAGTTTTAATCACCTTCTTGATTATCCGAAGATGAATGCATATGATCAATGTAATTATTAGAAGAATAAGGAGAAGGAGAAACAGAATTAGGAAGAAGGAAAGACATTATAGGAGAAAAAAATCATCAAGTATATGAGATGATGATAGGGAAAATGACTATAAAGATGAAATAGAAGAATATGGAAAATATGTTCATAGGACTTAAAATCTCTAGAGATGAATGTATAGTGAAGATCTAAGTCATAGAGTTTATAACCTTTAACACCCATAAGATTTCCTAGAAAGATACATTTTCTTGCTCTTATATGAAATTTCTTTCGATAAGCGAGTAACATAGTGGTAAAACTTAAGCAACCAAAAACTTTGAAATGGAGATAAGAAGGTGGTTTCTAAAAAAGCAAGCGATAAAGAGTACGGTGTTATAAAGTTGAGGACATGAGTCGATTAATGATATAAGTGGTTGTAAGGATAGCATCACCCAAAAAATTTCGAAGGTAAGGATGATCGAAACAATAAGGACCTAGCAATAACCTAGAGGTGTTGATGCTTTCTTTCCACAACTCCATTTTGTTGTGGATTTTCAACACATGAAGTTGGTGTATGATTCCTTTTGAATTATAAAACTCAAACAAATTGAATTTTGGGCCATTATCGGATCAAATTTGTTTAATGGAAGAACCAAACTAAGTGTTGATAAGATTATAAAAGGAAGAAACCAATGAAAGCACATCGATTTATGTCTTATTAGAAATATCTAAGTAAACCTAGTATGATCATCAACAATTGTTAAGAAATATTGATAACCACCTATAGCTGAAGTAGAATAAGCCCTAAATATCCACATGTACAAGTTCAAATGGAATAGAAGTATTTTTAGAATGTTGAGGAAAAGGTAATCTCCTTGACTTTGCCAATGGACATACGAGTACAAATTATATTTGGATTACACTCGTATAGAACTATCTATATGTTTAAGAGTATTTATTCTATCGGAGGGAATGGCTTAATCTATAGTGCCAAAGATCAAACTCCGAACATGTAGATAGATTAGTAACGAGTAGAATGGAAATCGACGAAGGTAGAGTTGCATTAGGAGATGATGAAGAACAATGAAGCGAGATAAAGACCGATCGCACTTAGCAAGCCCAATCTTGGTCTTGGAATAGAGATCCTGAAGAATGCGGTGTTCACCGGTAAACAACAACTTATATTTTTGAGATTTGGTGAGTCGATCGACAAACAAGAGATTGAAAGCAAAGGGAGGCACAAATAAAACATTATGTAAAATAATGTTGTTAATCCAAGTGACGAGTGCCACGAGAAGGTAGCAAAGGTATGAGTACCATTAGGCGTTTTAACTAAATTATTTGTGATAGGATAATAGGAATCAAATAATTGCAAAGAACATGCTATATGATTAGATGCACTCGTATCCATAATCCATTGGGAAGAGTTTAATGAAGTGGATGAATGACTAGAAGATTGATTACAAATGGATATACCGAAGCAAAGGTTTGAGTATGATTTACTAATGAGAAAGTGGGAGCAAGTATATGTTGAGGGGGCATTTCGTTGTGAAATATCCTTATTAAGCAAAGAGATAAGTTTCGAACTTGATTTTGAGACAAGCCAAGCCGAGACATGATGTTACCAAAAGAATAGCTAGGCGAGTGAATTATTCACTTCGAAAAAGCATCACCAATATAAGATCCGTTCAAAGCCTTGTTAACATAATTCACATTGAGAATAGTAGATTGCTTCACACTGTGAACATGAGATTGTGATTGATGATTCCTCCGTTGCCCTCCCCGAAACTTGTTGAACTTGAAATGAGGTGGAAAACCAATAATCTTATAACGGTTTTCCTTCGTGACTCGGCTTTCCATACGAGAACATACTCTGTCATTCTAAAATCAATTCTTATAAGTAGCGAAGCCACAGTACTGCCATAGCTGAAGCTTTTATAAAGGGTAGAGAAACAATCCGAAAAGCTCTGCGAGATTCTACTCGAAGAACAAGATTGAATACCTCATCCATAGTAGGAAATGGCTTTATCATGAGAATTTGAGAATGAACGAGCAGTAAAAGAATCATTTAATCCATTAAGGAAATGAAACATATAATTTTATTGATGCTTGTGTAGCAAAGATTTAAAAACAAGTGTCCTTATATGTACCACACTTGCAATGAGGCACGAGCCTATAGTTCTTGAGTTCTTCCCACACACCATTTAATTCATTGACGTAATCATTGATCAATCGAGTTCCTTGAGTAATAGTGCATAGACTTAACTACGGATTACAAATCCTAGCATCATCGAGTTGAGAAAATCTTACTTTCATTGTATCCCAAATCTTCTAAGTTGAATCCATATAGAAGACGAGTGTTAGCAATTGGTTGAGAAAGAGACTTCGACAACCAAGCAACAATCAAATTGTTACATCTATTCCAAGCAGGAAACATAGAATCTTCAAGATCCGGTCGAGGTATAGAACCATTGATAAAACCTTCCTTATTGAGAGCCAATAAGAAAGATTTGCTCTAAGAAGTATAATTGGAAGTTGTGAGCTCGGGTGTGATAACAACGGTGTTATGATGTTTTGAATGATAAAGGAAGAAAGGTGAATGAGGATCTTCATATGGTGGAATCAAAGAACTAGCAAAAGAAGAATTAGATGACATTATTGAATTTTTTCAAGATTCATGAAATCCACGGATTCAATTGATAACAAGACAAGGATCAATACTAGCAGAAATGATTAGTAGCGAGTGATGAAAGAATCTATGATTATAAAAGAAAAGGCTGCGAAAACACAATGAATCAAAAGATAAGGAATGTTTGGGAAGCAAGAAAACGCAAGAAAATGCGAGAAAAGAGTTTGTTATAACCAAAGCTATGATACCATGGTGAAAATGATGAAAATGATATTCATTTCTCATAACCGAAATGTAATTAACAATGCCTTATATATACATACACCGAGTACAACTAATATAACAATAACTAACTTTTGTAACTATTAAATTACAATCATTAGTGATACTATGCTATTAAAATCTTTAACCAGATTGAGCATCCATCATCTGCTATGTTCTTCATTATTGTAAGATGGAACACTAGAAGATAGGTGATCTCTTTTACACGGATCAAGAAGGTGAGTAGGATTTCTTAGACTTGCAAGTATTTTAATTGCACATTCTTGAGGAATAATTATAATATTTATATTCATGTCTAAAAACATCAAATTTCTATAAAAATTTATATTTTTTCTCCAGTTATGTTAATCTAATTAAATTTCAAGAAACAAATTATTTTAATACTCCATAACCCTTTCACTTCCACTTTACTATTTGTTCTCTCCAATTTAAATATATGTAACTTCTTGCGGGAAAAAAAATAAAAAAGAAGAAAGGGAGAAACATATGTTAATTTCCATGACACTTTCCATCTTTCCTTTCTTCATTTGGTTTTTCAATTCTTTAAGGATACATAGTGGTTTCATAAATGTCATCTTTATAATATTATTAAGACTTTTTAACATCAATAATATGTCTCTGTTCTGTACGGCAATGGTTCATATTCTTGGCAAGTTATAGCTTTTTGGCATCTACTTGCATTTTTAATTTTATGACTTTTTTTTACAGACCAGTTATATTACTTTGATATGTAATCAAATATAAGCCAAAATTTCTAATAAAGAATGTAATCAGAATATATTTAGATTCACATAAAAGTAAAATCATGAAGAAGAAAAGAAACCCACGCAAATACGTTGTCTTCAATGAGAGATTGTTGAAACATAAGTGCTGTGAATGTTTCAACAATTATTATTATTATTCCAAAAAGCTAACTTAATTTACAATGTTTTATCATCAACTTTTGTTCTATATATATTGACCTAAAGCATTAAAAAAAAAAAAAAAAAAAAAACTCTTTATTCAATAAACATTTCACAACTTGGGGGAGAATCTAATGGATGTCAAAATGAAAAATTTTTAAAAGCACACCCACGATAAGGAGATACTTATTGTAAGTACATTAACATAACGTACAATTATTCATGAGATAATTAATTTCGAAGTTCCCATGATGCAAGTGTTATTCCTAAGCTTTATGCCTTGAGAAGATATATACATATAAACAGTACTGACCGACATGCATGGAACTTCGAAATATCAGGAAACCGGAATACATATTAATACATGCATAAGCGGAAGCAGCGACCTCATGCAATATAAATCCCAAGAAAACCCAAACTTTAATTTATTGGTACAGGTTTCATGTCCGAAATTGTAATCGCTTGCATAGCTCAAGCCTTGACAAGGTGCTCATCAATATCCTTGACCACACGAGTCGCGAAGTCCAGGTACTTGTTTGGTGGTGGGTCATCAGCTTTGAGTTTCTCATATTCCAAAATCATTTGAACCAACCTCCGTCAGGCTTTGCAACAGCCTTGAGGGTAAGCTTATAGCTCCTGTACTGTTCCAGGATATGCCCTCCTACGGCAACCATAGTTACCTTTTTATTGGCTTCATCTACTTCAATCTTCTCTTTCATAACCTCTGGCTTTCCATCTATACTTCGACAAGAAACACGTTAATTAAACATCATCTTTTTAAGGTGTGATATATATATATATATAAAACAATTGGCTTGAAGGACATAATACATGTTACTAACTAATCAATGAAACAAGTTTGTAGCATAATATTTTCTTGTCCTAATAAGGAAGTGGAAGATGTTGAGTTATACCTATAGTATATGTCCAGAGCTTGACAGCGCCTGCGGTTACCCAGTCACCTTCATGAACCTCAACGGCATGGACATTTTCAGGGGAAGCATTGGGAATTTGGTGAGCTTCGACGCTAAGAACTTTGAAAAAGTTATCAGCAGAGGATTTGATCGCCACATCATTCTCAATCTTTTCAACCAATGCCATGTTTTTAGATTAATACTTCAGTTCCTTGATTATCCTTCTGACCGATACCTTGTATATATAGTGGCAGAATTACGAGGGATGCTATTTGGCTTCCTTTTTTCTTTCGGTGGATTATTATAATTTTCCTAATATGATGTTAAATTACACAAATTATCTAAAACTTAAAATTTAAATTATACTTCAAAGAATATTAAAAAAGAAATTCATAAACAAAATTGACCGAGATCAAACAGTAAAATTAATATTATTCCAGTACTAAAAGTAATTATGCCTCTTTTTTTATGTTTTTTTTCTGATTTTGTAAGGTTTTAATTTAAGAAATGAGTAGTAATTAAGGGTATTTTAAATTTCAAAAGCTGATTCTTGTAATATTTTTTTTTTAAATAAAGAGAGCTTTCCAACAGAAAATATTTAGAATTTTCAAAATATGCAAAGAGACTATTGTAATTCATTTATTTATTTTGATAATATGCTGCTGTTTGCCATTGCATAACTGTCAAGCTCTTTTATCTTGTACCAAAACGAATAATGAGAATTTGTTTTTTGTTGATGGGCTCATATGAATTAGCTACCACACATGCAGGACACCTCATAAATATACACATAAAGTCTTGCCGGAAGATGGACTGCAGGTCAGTAAAATCTCAGAAGTCCCAAATTTTTGGCATCTTTATACATATTGGCTGTTCTAGAATAAAGAAATGAGTAATAATTACGGTTATTTTAAATTTCAAAAGCGGATTTTTGTAATATATTTTTTTTAAATAAAGAGAGTTTTTGCTAAAGAAAATGTTTAGATGATCTTGCAATTTCAAAATATGCAAAGAGACTATTGCAGTTTATTTATTTATTTTGATAATATGCTGCTGTTTGGCGTTGCATCACTGTCAAGCTCTTGTATCGCGTACCAAAACCAATAATGAAAATTTGTTTTTTGTTGATGGGCTCATATGAATTAGCTACCAGACATGCAGGACACCTCATAAATATACACATAAAGTCCGCCGGAAGATGGGCTGCAGGTCCGTAAAATCTAAAATGTCCCAAATTTTTATCTTCTCTATACATATGGGCTGTTCTAGAATAAAGAATAGCAAAATTCGAACCATTTTTCGTGCGTATATACGATTTTCATTCGATTAAGAACCTGTTTGGTTTTTTGTTTTCTAGCATTTACAGTTTTGTTTTAAAACAATGCATTAAAAAAATGTCAAAAAGTGTTTAATAAGAATTTTAAAAACTAGTTGTTTAACTTTCGAGAATAAAAGATGATTTTTTTATATAAACAATTTAAAAGTATATTAGCTTTCGCTTTATAAAGCATGAAAAATCATATTTTTTTAATGAAAAACTACTTATTTTATTTAAAATAAAAAATAATTATAATGTAGTTTATCCTAATATATTCACATGTTTAATTAAATTATTTAGTAATTCTATTTACTTTAAAAATAACAATTTAATATTTTGATTCTTGTCTTTTTCTTTCTTTCCGTACTATATATACACAACTATTACGTTTGTTAATTAAATTATTTTATAGCTTTATTTACTTTTTAAAAAATCATCTAATTTTTTATTATATATATATATATATATATATATATATATATATATATATATATATATATATATTTAATGATATCTCTGTATTTTCAAAAAAAAAATTATTACATAATTCAATTTATTATCTTAAACAAATTTATGTTTTTATGATAGTTTTGATTCAAACAACACAACAATAAATTATTAAATAATTAAGTGATTTTACTTACAGCAAAACACAGTAATAAATTACCAAATAGTTTAATGTGTTTACTTCCACAACACTATACAATAAAAACAACATAACCGACATAAAAAGAGTCAAATAGGCTCTGAATTTTTTGTACCTTCTTTATTTTGTGGCAGAAAACAGCCTAGCTTCAATTGCCTTATTCAAATTATTATTCAAAAAAGTAAACAGGATTAGGAAAAAAATGATTAAATTAAACTATTGCCAATACATATATTATCCTCATTCATAGAAAAAGATGTATTGTTATCCTCCGTTAGATATATAATCCTCACATTACAATATTGGTAACAATGAGCACTAGTTGTGTTTGTGTCGGTTAAAAAATATACAGTATATGCTGATGTAATTTTTTCGAGTAAATTATAAATTATTTTCTTTAGTTTTGAAAAACGAACTAATTAGTTTTTTTTCAAAAAATAATTTTTTAAGTTTTATATGTTTAATTTTTTTTTATAACTTAATCATTTTCTTTCTTTTTAATTTATGTTTATTTTTATTTAAAGAGATTAAAAAAGATAAAATAAGTAAAAGATTTAGAAGTTTGATGAAAAAAAATTTATCAGACCCGGTGGCAGTTTTGAACCATTCACATCATTTTTAGAACAAGACCATGCAAATAAATTCCGTCTAAATCATTTGATATCTTAATTATAAGATAATATAAAACAATCAAAGAGTTTATGGTACAATAATAATAATAATTTTTTATAATAAAAAATTAAAAATTTAAATTTTAGTTAGTTACTTTTGTTAACAGCTTGAGTGTGTAATAATAATAATAATATAAAACAGTATTTGGATTTTATCATCAAAACAATAAATAAAATATAATAAATAAAGTAAGAGGTCGCCTGCACCCTATACCATGTCGCTATACATCCAAGGATATTAAAGAGATATTAGTAATAAAATAAAGCTTAATGTATATTGTGAAAACGCCTTGCTCCTCCTGTTTTGACCCTATAAAGATTAAAGAGATATTCAATATAAAAGATTACTCCTCAATTTATCGAGTTTCTGCAACTTGTATTTCTTTTTGACGACATTTTAAACATGTCGCAATAATTTACTGTGGCAAATTTAGCACTGTTATTAATTATGCAACTACCATGGACTAAATTCACATTTTCTTATAAAAGCATTATCCGTATTAATTATGAAAGCTCCCCCATGGCCCCCTCCTTTCGATTTCTGACTATTCAGAAATAACCAAATTTATTACAACTTTTAATTTTTTTGAAAACAAATGGCCCATATCACTAAAATGGAAACTTAAGGCATCGTCCAAGCATTCACAACCACCACCATTATTTATTATATTTCTTAATTCAATGAAGCATCTCAGTACTTATTTTGTTTTTTTGGTCCCATTCAACTTATTACAAAAGTATCTAAAAAAATGGGAGCTTAAATAATGAAAATCACTCTTTATTTCATCACAAGTCACTATTCATGTACTATGGTATTTTTGTGATTTTTCAATTGTTTTTAGACATTTATATTCAAAATTACATAAATTTTCATTTTGATCCTTCAAGTTTTAAAATAAAAATTTGATCTTTGGGTTGTTTGGCCTCTTGGCCTACTGCATTTGGTTGTTGCACTCGGGCCTACGGTAGTTGATCCGAGAGGATGATCAGCCACACTAGGATTGAGACATAACCCAAACTCCTACGGGAGGTAGCGAGTGGGGAATTTTTCGCAATGGGTGAAAGCTTAACGGAGCAATGCTTTGTGGAGGTAGAAGGCCTACGGGTCGTGAACTTCTTTTCCCGGAGAAGAAGCAATGACGGTATCCGGGGAACAAGTATCGGCTAACTCGTGCCAGCGAGCTGCGATAATACAGAGGATGCAAGCGTTATCCGGAATGATTGAGTGTAAAGCGTATGTAGGTGGCTTTTTAACTCCGCCGTCAAATCCCAAGACTCAACCCCGGATAGACAGTGGAAACCGCCAAGCCGGAGTATGGTAAGGGCGAGATGAAATTTTTGATGGAACGGAGAAATGCGTAGAGATCAAAATGAACATCAATGGAGAAAGCACTCGTTGGGCCGACACCGACATTGAGAGACGAAAGCTAGAGGAGCAAATGGGATTAGATACCCCGAGTAGTCCTAGCCGTAAAAGATGGATACCGAGCGCCGTGCGTATCGAACCATGCGAGTGTTGTAGCTAACACGTTAAGTATCCCGCTTGGATAGTACGTTCGCAAGAATAAAACTCAAAGGAATTGACGGAGGCTCGCACAAGTGGTGGAGCATGTGGTTTAATTCGATACAAAACAAAGAATCTTACCGGGGCTTGACATGCCGTGAATCCTCTTCAAAGAGAAGGGTGCCTTCGATAATGCAAACATGGTCATCCTCTCTATCGATCCAAGTGATGGAAGGGCAGAGGCCTTTGGTGTCCCCTCCAATCAAGAATTAGGGCCTCACAATCAATTTATGTTTTTTTATTATAGAATTAATTTTTTTTCTAATAAAATAATTAGAAGAACCGCCTAATAATTAAAATACAATTATATACAATAATGTTTTAGAAGAACCGCCTAATAATTAAAATACAATTATATATATAGGTTTTTTAATTATTGAAATAGGTGTGAATTATGAAAAATGCTATTTTTATTCTCTTTCTTTCTTCTCTTTGTTTTTTTTCCACCCATTTATGTTTTTTTTCTTTTTTCTTTTTTTAGTTATTGAATTGGGTGTGAAGATTATAAAAACAAATTATTATTTTTTGCACAAAACCAATATTAATATTATTCATTATATATATATATATATATATATATATATATATATATACACTTTCAAAAAAAATTCTTCCCATCGGTATTAAACAAGATTAAAAAAATATATATGTTAATTTTTATTCAGGTTTTTATGTTACTTTATTTCTTCAATATAATGTTATGAAAAAATATTTAAAAAATAAAATTATTTTTTAATTTTATAGTCGATTATTATGGATTTTTTAAGCATAAATGTATAAAAAAATCATATTTTTTTAACTACAAAAATTATTAAAAAAATAAAAATAAAAGAGATGCAAAATTTTGATTAAAATTTATAAAATTAGATGAAATTTTATTTTTAATTTAACATATTTTTGTGGACCGATAGAATAATAAATGTTATCAAACTAAAATAAATATGTTTAACATGACCTATAGCATAGTGCGAAGCCAACTAGTTCAAGC